TCATACCTTCTACATGTACTAACTGCTCTCTCAACGGTTCAAGAAGACATACTTCCTACTTCCTGCGATATTCTTTTATTTTGTGACGCCTCTGGAGGAGCTTTGCTGCTTCACACTTCAAGTCATTCACTGTGAATGAAACATTTCCTTCAGACAGAGTGGAGGTGACATACAGTCGTTCTTTATTAGGAGCACATCGTCCTTTATAGAGTCAACACAGCGTACTGCATATACGATACATGCGTCATACATGAGCTCATACATAGAACATACAGAGATAAAGTGACGGTGGAGTTATATTCTGGGCATAAAGCACATCTCATGGTTATATTCTTTTCTTGACAGTTTGAAGCTTATTTACAGGAGAGCAGCTGCAGAATCAGCATCACTGATCAGAGCGAGTCCTCAGATGTGTAGAGGAACAGCCTCAGAGGACCTGTTGGAGCTCTCTATGTTCTCAGAGCCTGGCGTCGGGTCCATGAACACGGACAGAACACAACAATAACAGCACTGGTAGATACGTGGAGCTTCTGACCTCCTCAGAGCAGCTGGGCGACTTGCTGCTGATGAGCAGAAGCTGCAGCGTCCTTGTTTCCAACACGTCACGACCTTAGAAGCAGGAACATGCAACGACAGCAGCACATCTACAGACGGACACCAACACGCCTCGCCATGCAACATGTTTAGAACCCGGTAGTGAGGCAACCGGGTCATGCGTGGACAACTGCACTGAGCATGCATGCAATGGAACGTCCCTCCACCAGCGTCGGCTCTGGTTCGGACCGATCCGGTTGGTTGTGTGGTGAAGCTGAGCTCAGCTGGAAGCCTCCAGTGAGTCGGTGTGGCTGGTGCTGGTTCCCACCGGTAGAGGTCAGACCCGCTCCGGTTAACCCTCTGAACCCGGCTGCAGCTTCACGCTGTTTCTGCTCCTCCACTCAGGTTCGTGTTTCACCAAAGTCCTGCAGCTCTGTGGAACCAGAACCACGAAGGAGGAGGAGAGAGAACTCAGATGTCTTCTGTCAGCTTCAGACCTTCTCTGAGTCTGTCTGACTCGCAAACAATCGATTTATTTGTCATGAAATTCCACAAACATGCAGCTCAGACGGCGTGTGGGACTCGTAAAACCGCTGCATCAGCACGTCCAACGTGTTTCTACAGAAGTGAAACCCTGAAAACACACATTTAACTATTTACATTTTTACAGCCTCGAAGAACTCGTTCAGTCTGCTTCCTGTTTCTGTCGTCCTGAGTCTTCGTCACGTCAGTTTGTGTCTCTGTGCTCATGTGGTGTCCTGCAGATGTTGAACCATCTCCATGTCTCCAGACGGTTCCTCTCTGCTCATCAGCTGTAGAAAGATGTTCTACAGGATCAGAACCAGGAGGAGGACGGTTCTGGTTCTACAGGATCAGAACCAGGAGGAGGACGGTTCTGGTTCTACGTGATCAGAACCTGGAGCAGGAAGATTCTGGTTCTACAGGATCAGAACCAGGAGCAGGAAGGTTCTGTTTCTACGGGATCAGAACCTGGAGCAGGAAGGTTCTGGTTCTACAGGATCAGAACCAGGAGCAGGAAGGTTCTGGTTCTACGGTGATTTTGGGGACTTTTCAAACGTAGAATTAAATGATTTTACTTCACAGATGATACGTTCAGGGACTGCCTGACAGTTGGACATCTGAGCATTCTCTCTGTTTCTACAGACGGAGGCATTCTGGAGATTTCTTGTGAACAACTCTTTGGAAGCTGCAGCAGGTTTTGGGGTTCAGAGGATTAACTCGTGTCGTCTTTCCAACCAGGGACCAGCTGTCAGGGATTCACCTGTCGGACGTGACCATACGCAGCAGCTGATTGGCTCCCTGCTACCCACACACCTGTGAGGACCAGCTGCTGCGTTCAGGCAGAGCGTCCGTGTCACAGCACCATGGTGGGGATGTGGTGCACCAGGGAGGCCGGGTGAGGCACGGCGGTCAGCTGAGGCGGGTGAGACGGGGGAGGCGAGTGGACGCCGCCCCCCACCACCACCACGCCGCCCCCCGCGGCGCCGGCCTCCACGCTGGGCCGGTGCCGGGCGCTCTTCTGGTGCGCCCGCAGCCCGGCCAGCTGCGAGTAGGCCGACTGGCAGACGTGGCACTTGTAGGGGCGCTCGCCGGTGTGCAGCCGGACGTGGTTCCTCAGCGTGGACGACTGGCTGAAGCGGCGGTTGCAGAAGCGGCAGACGAAGGGCTTGTCCAGCGTGTGGATGCGCATGTGTGAGCGCAGGTTGCTGCGAGAGTTGAAGCCGCGGTGACAGATGACGCATCGCATCCGGCCGAGACTGGAGGAGGAGGAAGAGGAGGACGAGGAGGAGGAGGAGGAGGAAGAGGAGGAGCCCTCACAGGTGTGGAACTCATCTGTGGAGGAGAAAAAGAAGAAGAACCGTGAATTGATCTGAATCTGATGATGGCAAAACCAGGTCCAGTGTTCAGACTGAGACTCCTGGATGGACGTAGAACTGATCTGGTGTCAGGTTCTACCAGAACCCAGATGTGTTCTCCATCAAAAGGTGACCAAGTCACATCAAAGCTTCCAAAATGCCACAGAAACGCTCCCAGATGTTTGAAATGTGTCCAAAACGAAGCCGGATGTTGAAAAAAGACATGAAATCATCCAGAATCACAAAATGTTCACGATGACTCAAATAATTGTTCTAGATCACGTGAACGCCGTCCTGAAGGACTCAGACTGGTTCAGAATGACACCCGGACAATGTAGAACTGATCTGGTGTCAGGTTCTACCAGAACCCAGGCCTGTTCTGCCTCCTACATGTCATGTGTCTATCTGCTGGACTGACTCACATCGGTGTCGTTCCACCGTCTGTCCAGCAGGAGGCGCTGTGACTCCACCGCCTTCTCAGCCACAGCTCAGCTCCTCTGGGTCCGTTTACCTTCCCTTTATTCTGACCCAGCACTTGACTTTAGTGCTTTCCGATCAGAACCGCTGCAGCGCTGCAGCAGAGCCGGAGCGGAGCAAAGTCGTGTCCCCACTGCACACCCAACGTGT